GACATTGAATTGGCTATTGAAATGGTATCAGTAAAGTATTTATATATTCCATATTTTGTTCCATACATCAGCTTTCCTTGATGCGTTAGACTTGGAAGGGTGCCATGTGAGCTGAAATGTTGCCATATAAGAAAGACCGCCTTGTTTTAAAAATGGACTAAACCTTTTAGGGTACAGGAAATAAAGTAAATCAGTTTGAATACAAGCACATCACTCTTTGCCCCTGCTCCTGCATATTTTACTTTGTCTCTTCCCTGTTTATCTTCAGAAGCTGGCTGTGCATACAGTAAATATCAGTGTTCACTCACCTAAAAGCTAAACACAGTGATAAATACAACTCCTGCCATAAAAACTGAATGAATGACAAGAACAGTATAGTTTCATGAACTAAGACATCCACTGAAAAAATATCACAATTTAAAGTTGGTTTTACAACATTATTTAATTTAAAACAAAGCAAAATACTTCTGTGGTAAAATCACAGTTCTTCACTCTGTGCTGTAAGGGAGATTCAATAATTTATATTTCAAAACGTTTGGTGGAGTTTTTTTTCTTTAAATAAAAAAATATACTCCAAAGAAAATGCAATAGATCTCTGCATACTTGAAACATATTTTCTGAATTTATTCTAAGTCTCTTACTGCACCAGTGGGTTGTGTGTATGGATTAGGACTAGACCATTATTTCACCATCTATCTCCATCCTGAATTGATTGCAGCGAACACTGCTGAATGAATTGCAGATGTCTCCTTTTCCCCCTGGTTTGGGGGACCTCTCTTTTCAGGCCCATTTGATCTGAACTGGGCTAAGGAGTGCGAGTCTGTCACTGTTTAGAGGGATTCAGTGGAAGAAATCTTTGCACCTGAAAGAAGTTACTCTCTCTATGTATGCACAGCTTGAGCTCTGAAGTGTGTGCTGTGGGATACTGCCTGGATGAAACTTTCTGGTGTGTCCCTGCCCATTCAGGATGATTGTTTGAAATGACAGAATCCAACAGGGAAAAAAAAGAAATATGGAGAGAACTAGCTTTGCAAATGGGGAGCTTGTTTTTGACAGGCAAGCATAAAAATGTTTGTGAATTCAAGAAACTAAGCAATTTTAAGACATACTTTCCCTTAAAGTTCTTCCAGACTTCAGGCAAAGTGCAATATATGTGCTTCTGTATTACAAAACTAGAGCAAATGTACATGAAATGTTACACAGGCAGGTTTTCACACGTAAAGATGTTTTCCTCTTGATGGATTCTTTCTTTGTCTCCTGAACCCTCATCACCTCTGAATGTATGGATAGTAGGATAACCACTGGGAGTTTGTGTCAAAAATGTCTATACTTAAAAAACATCATGGAATATTATGGTTTAGGGGAAACTTGGTGTGTGAATATGATTTAAATACTGTTTTGCCTTTAGCTGTCATATCAAGCTATCTTTCAACAATTAGAGTAAAAAGTATTAGGTTTTGGGTTTGTTGTATTTTGGGGAGGTGTTTGGTTTGGGGTTTTTTTTTTTTTTCAATTAAAAACAAATAATGATTTGTAGAAGCTAGAGCTCTAGGCTAAGTATCAGACACTACAAGCTTTAGGAGTTCAGATCACAAGAACTGGTAAGGCTTTTATCAGCGATGACTCTGCTTTGTACTCCATCACCACTCTATCCCCTGAGAGACCTATCTCTTAAAAACAGAACTGTTGAGGTTCTCTGGGATTGTGAGTGGTGGGACAGAAGTGCAGAGCCACTGTGGGCAGGTATTTCCAGCCCCATAGCTCCCACAGAGGTTTGGGAAAAAGCTGTAGAGGCAGGGAACAGGTAAATAGCAGCAGTAAGAGCAGAATGGTTCCTGCAGGACTTTTGCTATTGAGGAGGATGGAAAAGTGAAATGTAAAGGCTGCTCTCCTGGGTGGTGTGGTGGGGGTGCTGTCTTCCAAGCACGTGGAAGAGCTTTGCATTTTGCCCTGTACTGCTTCAAAAGTCCTCTCCCCCTGCCACCCAAGGAGCCTGTGCTCTGACAAGATAATCTTGTACCCTGGTTAGAAGTGTTTAGAGGTGTGCTTGAAAGCAGCCTTATATCTCATTACAGAAGACAGACCTGGGGAGCGTACGGACAACCAGAGATAAATCTGTCCGCCCCGTGATCATATAGTAGCAGAGTGGGGTCTGGGGCTTTACAACGTGGGGAGAGAGGTTAAACAGAGGTAAGTGGCCTGTAGAGTTTGCGGTTTTATTTTTACCTCTCAGAGGTCCAAAGAAAGGTAATTGAGAAAATCAAGCCTAATGTCATTAGATGTATATGAGAAGTACAGGATAATTTCAGCGATCTGCAAACTGGGTGGCAGACACTGTTCGAGGGAGTAGAAACCAGTTGGATGACAGTAGAATGGCAGTCTGAATTTGGAGGGCAAAACCAACACATTAATTCCCACTACCGTGTTCAATTTAAGTAACAAAACATTGCCAGCTTTTTGGGAAAGGCTCCCCCCCTCCAATATGAACTTTGAAATGTAACAAAGGAGGGGAGCAGGAACCGTGTGGTTGGTTACAGGCTTGGGATCGCTTTTAGTTATCAACAGCTGAACTGGAGGATACAGGCTGTGCCTGCTCGCTGCGAGCAGCAGACTGTTAGAAGAGCTTGATTTCTCTCACTCCTTCTTCCACCCACCTCCATCTCCTCTGTGCCTGTGTCTGCGCTCCCACATGCTTCAAATCTGTGTACCTGGACTGCCTTCCTTAACAGTTCAATGTGAGTGTTAGCAGAATGAAAACCAGATGGACCAGCAGTTCCCACTGTTATCTCCCCACCAGCTCTGGCAAGCCTCCCTTTCTCTCTCCTTTCTTGGCATGGCAGAAATATTTGCCTTTATTTAGGAGGGCTTGGGCTCACTGCTGTGCCTCTTTCCAAAAAAAATTCCCTCTGTTGCAACATGAGCTGAAAGCTATTTATTCCCTTGTTGCTGAGGTTGGTTGAGGTGAGTGGAAGATGAATTCGGCTATTAAGGAAGCAATTAACATTTCAAGATGAGTTTTCATAGTTCTTTATATTAAATGAATGACTTGTTAAAGATACAGATTTAACTGTTTAAGTGTAATGATATAGAAAGGAAATTTGTATAGAATATGTTTAAAAGCTTGCTTTTGTTTTCCAGCATGTAATAATTTACTGTTGCTTGATTTGCAAATCAAATCTCACCTGTGTAGCAGCCTTAATATTTAAGCTAATCATTTTGGATACTGTTCCTCCCTACACAGCTGAGGTTTACTAACTTTAGATCCACACTGAAGATCCTGTAATACTGTACCTGTGTTCCCCTCATCCTGTTCTGGGAGTGTTTCACTGCTCATCTTCTCCAAAGTTGCCTCTAAATTCTACATTAAATTACTCCCTTTAGCTGAGAACTGAAGCATTGTCTGTAGGCACTTCTACAAATGGTGAAGATGGCTTTTATAATTGCATACCTGACACACTGCACCTCTGAGACATACTTCCTCACTTTCCTCAGTTTCAGACAGCTAAATATTGATATCTGTGTTGTTAATTTTTGAGGTAGGTGTTGGGGTTTTTTTTTGGTTGTGTTTTTTTACTTTCTGATAAGTAAGTGTTCTGATAATTAAGTGTTTTAAGGCTCTTTTAAACGTACCCTTCCTTTGTTAAACGTGTGCACTGCATTTGTTTCTCTTAATGTCTCTCAGGGCAAATTTTAGATAGGATTTTTGGTTGAAGTTTGTAAATTGTTAGTAAGAAGGAAAAACACATTGCAAAAGGGAGTGATGGAATTTATAGCATATGGCGGGCTTTGCTATTGTCTTGAATTAAAACCCACAGATTTACATGCTTGCCTATCAGCAGCGACACTTCCTTGCTTTGCAAGATAGTTTAATGGAGTTCAGGAAGACTTGTGTAGGACAGTGTATAAAATAAATAACCCTGACCCCTCAAGAAAGGATGGAAGAATTTAACTGAATGCCCATCTTTTTTTTACTCATCTTTTCTCAAGATGGCTTGCTAAACTCCTGTCATGAGCAAGGAAGCCTTAACTTTGCTTTCAGTTGGTAAAAGTTGTCATGGTTTGCCCGTTCTTGATAGATGAAACATAAGGGTTTGGGTGGGATTTTAAAAATTCTAACACAGAGGTGTCCAAAAAGGTCTTGGAAAAAGAAGATACTTCTATAGCTTCCATATCAAATATCTTGCATCTCAAGATCTTTAGTTGCAAGAGGACTGTTAGGTTGTCTGCTTTTTTTTTTCTTCTCTCTTTTGTTTTGTTTTCTTGAGAAGGTATGTTTCTATTTGCAGGTTTTGAACATTAAAGTTTTTCTTAATGTGCGATGGTGGAAACTTAGATGCTTTAAAAAAACCCCAATGGTATGTATGTGTGATGACTGACATACCATTTTGGCGCGTTGTGTTTATTTTTCTGGTGTATGTAAGAATATCCAGGGGCAGGGTAGTAAAGTGATCCAGGAGGCACGCGGTATTTAACATAAGTATCTCTCCATGATTACAAAGAGAAGTGATGGAGAGGGCAGCAGGTGTTACCAAGAAGAGACATGAAGAGAGCTGGCTTCAACCAATATCCCACCCAGCATCTCATCTGTACTAGAGAGCTTCAGGTTTTAGTTCTGGAATAGTTGTCGTAAGGGGATTTATTACCTTCCTGTCTCTTCATCTGTTTTTTCCTCCTGGCTAACGTGAGAGTTTTGAAGGAAAGGTGGCATTATTGCAGCTCCAGGAGTGCTTGGGAGGTAGCATCTGCACATGCTAGAAATAAAAACAAAAGACAATGCAGCACCGCTACAAATGAGATCTTGCCATCTGTGTTACACGTTCTTAAGTAAGGTTTAGATGATGTAATTTGGGAAGAGCACACTGGAGTAGATAATCTGGTGTAATCTTTTGCAGCAGATGCTGAAATGGCTCACTTCTTGCATTAGCTTTTAAGTTTTTGTAACATGGGGTGTGCTTGGGGAAATAAACCAGTGTGTTCCTGTGGTGTATGTTGCAGATCGCACTGAGAAGCATTCCACAATGCCAGACTCACCTGTGGATGTGAAGACACAATCCAGGCTGACACCTCCAGCCATGCCACCTCCTCCCACTACCCAAGGAGCTCCAAGAACCAGTTCATTCACGCCCACAACGTGTAATTAGACTTATTTTCTTCATTTTCTTCCATATTCTTTCTATTCTCTATGTAAGAAAGCAAAACATGTGAAGGTAAACATGCATGATATGGTGGGAGCAGCATTTAGTTGTACTGCAATAAAACAATTAAGCAAAACTAAGATTGCAACAGATTAATGCATCTTTAAGGTATTAAAACATTCAGCTCAGAGTTGTGTCATTTCGCTGATAACTTGGCCACAGTGTTAAAGAGCAGTGAGCACTGGTTTCCCATGTAGTTAATGCTCAGGCCAGTCTTTGTGAGAAGGAAAACCTCTTTTTGCCATTCTGTTGTTTAAAGGACCCTTTTCCCTTTTTTATAGAAACTTTGGGGGGTTTGCTTGCATACATTTTTAAAGTGGGGGATAATTCATGGAAAAACCAAACTTCGTCCCACTTATGATTGAAGAATTCTCATTTAAATGCTGTATAATGTCTAGTTAATATTGATATAAACCCCAAAATAAAGGCCTTTAACTGTTTTATCTAGAGATTTCTAATCTGTGACCACTTTACTTGGGGCTGCATCTCTGTCTCAGTTTATCGATGTAAACACACAAGAAACTCAACTAGTTTTGATGGAATTATTCTGCATTCATATCAGTGTAACTGAGATCTGAATCTGGCATGTTGTCTGGACTATTCTTTTCACAGCCATGAAATGATCCACATTTCTCTTACCAAGATTTAGCTGCAAATTTTTTGGTCTCTTTTATACTGCCTTGTAATAGTATAAACATGAGAATGTGTTTACATTTCACATTTTAAATAAAACATTTTTAGAACAGTAGAATACGAATGCATATGCCTAAACAGAATGAAGGCAGCATCTTCTATTTGTCTTTCCTGTGCCTGTTTAGTCCTTTTCTGTCTGCTAAATGCCTTATTTAAAACTCACCTCTAATGCAGAAGTCCAGCTGGAGGCCCTTGTACCACTTCTCCCAGGGAACTCTGTCCTGACAATTTACATCCAACTTAAACAGTGATGAGGGTTTGTGCCAGCTATTTGTGTAAACTCAAGTTTAACCCAGTGACCCTGATCCTGCACAGATCTGTCTGTTTTGCTTAACTCCAGCACCTGAATCATCCTAGGAGCTGCTCTGGTCTAAAGTTAAATTGTTTCTAAGTTTTTGCAGGGTGGGGTTCTTAGAGATTAAGCTTTCAAATATGATGCACTTTGCACAGTTCAGGGTTATCTTTGGCAATCATAAAAAGAATAGGACAATGATCTTCCTTAATCACTTTTATAATCCTCACTGTAACTCACAAGATTTCTGGATGTTTGTTTATGGTTGGGTTCAGCGCTTTGGAAAGGTGTGTGAACCATAGCTGAATTTTTGGGGCTGTTTATATAAAAAGTCTAAAAAAGTCTAGTTTTAATTGCCTTTTTTTACCCTGTCAGATTTTGGAGTTTGTCTTTAGTGGTTCCAGCTTGTACAGTAAATAATACTTCTGTTGGAGTGTCTGTTACAGTTATTATTGCTACAGTGGGAACGCTTGTAGGCCAGGAAGATCATACTTGTTTTATGGTCAAGAATAGCTTATTTTCTTTGATTTAGACTGTTAAAAACTCTTGACATATATTAGTTTGAAATGTTAAATGATAAATTCTGTTTTATTAATAATGTGGGTTTGTTTTAGAAATTATGTAGATCTTTGCCAGTTGGCAAGTTCAGACATTACAAAGGAGAGAAAATTACTACTATGTGGTGGACTATTAAAAAAAAAAAAAGTTTTAGAGAAGCTGCATTTGGGGAGTATTTCTTTATTTCTTTTGTTGTGGGAGAAATTTTACCTGCCTTTCTCCTCTTCCTATCTATCTGAGGTAATGAACTCCACTGTTTTGTGCTTTTTTGATCATAGCCCCAAGACCCTCTGCTGAGAGCAACCCCATATCAATGACCGAGTTGTTGGGTGCTGTCAGGCTAGAACATGACACAGTCTTGTTCTTCCTAATCCTCATTTACTAAGCTCATGTTATGATGACTTTTGGCTATGCAAGTTCCTTGCAGTCACAATGTATTTGTTTACTCAGGTACCTCACTCTATGGCAGCGCTTGGAGCTACATGTGGAGCTGAACTTGCTGAGACCAGCTTCTTTCTATTTCTGCTTTTTCCACTTCTTGTTCTCCCTAGCCCATGCAGCTAGAATGTGCAACCAAAAACTAGGATAAAGCGGAAACTAGATAGCTATTCAGATAGCTTTTTCTGTGGTGCTCCAGAAGGGGACTTCAGTCAGGAGGGCAAAAGCTCCTTCAAAAGTATTGCAGTAGTGATTTAAATCTGGTAATAGGGTAGTGATCTAAATCTAGTAATAGGTGTGCACCCTCAAAAGGGACTTACTGGCTAGCAATAAAGATGACTGATAAAGAAAGTGACAAAAATTGGGATGTGTGCCTTCAGAGAGGCTGGTCATTAAGCAACATTGAAAGTTCTTTAAGTTGCTAGCTCACCATTGTTAGCGCTTTTAAATAAGAGGCAATTTAGGCTTACTCCTACGCTTTTTTTATTTTTAATGTTTTTTTGGGGGGGATGGGTTCTGAGTGAGTTCTCAAAAAGAAATTGGCAAATTTCTCCAGGGCAGTGGCCGCTGAGCATGGTGCTGGCTGCTGCTGGGTGCAGTCACATACTGTGTGCCCATTCGCTGTCATTTTGCCAAGTCAGACTTAAACAACCTCAACAGTGTGTGTTTGCCTGTTGCTGTTCCAAGTAGCCTGGGTGGAAAAGGATGTCCTCAGTTTGATTCTCTGCTCTCTTCTGGAGCGTGGATGAGAATCAAACTGAAATGACTGCCAAAAACTGTCTGTTGTCTTCAGTATGTCTGCATGAATCTCATTGCCATACATTTTGAACACTTAGTACTTCAAACAGTTGTTCTCACAGCAACCTTGCAACAGGAGGGAAATGCTTTCTTTTCCTTTTAGAGGTAGAGTATTGGCTCACTCATGAAAACTGAGTGATTTGCTCATGGTCTTTGAGAAGCCTTCTGAAGTCTAGCTTCATGCTCTAGCTGCAAGGCTTCAGGCCACAGTGATCATAGCACCATTTGTACCTGCACAAACAACTTTGTGTGCTCCATATGTTAGCAGCTAGGAAATATGTATCTGAAAAAAAATAACCTCCTCATTGGGTGGTGTAAGGTTAAAACGTGAAAGTCCTGTTTTATAAACACAGCTGTCAGTTGTGTGTACAAAACACAAGTAAAAATATTCAGAGATAAACTGAGGCTTCATGAAATATGTCTGCACATTTTTTTCTACCCCAAGGAGCAATTTTTTTGTCTTCAGTCATACATGCTCTCATGCTCCTTCTCTCTCCATTTCCCTCCTTCTCTTTTTAAAATCCTCTGACAAAAAGGCAGTATTCAAATGATGCTTTCCAGGTGCAGGAGCATTTTGAGGGGGGTGTGTAAGAGGCAGCTGCTGTTACTTCCAATCCGTACACCGTTCAGTACCAGCTACTGGGAAATAAATATAAACTGCAGAGTGTTGCTCTGTCAAAAGGCTAATTATCTTTGATTGTGCAACTTAATTAATTTTGAGGACAAGCATGGAAAACATAAGCTGATGGATTTCCCTCTTCTTTCTCTCTCCTTGCCCCCCTTTCTATTTTATCCTCTCTTTTTTTCTTCCAGTAACCAATGGCACTAGCCATTCACCAACAGCGTTAAATGGAGCTCCATCTCCTCCTAATGGCTTTAGCAATGGGCCATCCTCTTCCTCTTCCTCCTCTCTGGCTAACCAGCAGTTACCGCCAGCTTGTGGAGCTAGGCAACTCAGCAAACTGAAGAGATTTCTTACAACCTTACAGCAGTTTGGCAATGACATTTCACCAGAGATTGGGGAGAGAGTGCGTACCCTTGTGCTAGGACTTGTGGTAAGCAAACATCCAATGATATAATAATTGTGATATTTTTCTCTTCCCTCTTTACACTTGACATGTTTATTATATACAAGAGTGGGTCATATACACTGCATATATCATACTTTAAGGATACCAAACATGTGAGAATGAAGCACTAGCTCTTGCTGCTGGAGCTAACTTGTAACTTGACTAGTTTCCTGTAAGTGACAGCTATTCCCAACCAGATATGGACTTGACTTTTTTTGCCAGTATAGTATTCTGCTGTAATGGTGTGAAAGGATTTTCGTTCTACACTGGCAACATCCCTAATATAGACATCCTTGAAATATATAATGTACTAAAATATGGTTTGGCTTGCATAGTTTAGTTGGCTGGGAAAAAGAGAGTGCCCTACATATGTAGCGGCAGAATACTGGTTAAAAAGATGAGCTGAATGTATGTTTGGACTGCAGTTACACAGTGGAAAACCTTTTCTCAGTATTCATTGACCCCAACAAGGAGGCACCCGATGGTGCATTGCTGCTACTTAAGTCACCCTATTTATAAGGTTGTCTCTATGCGATTGTATGGCTGAATGAAAATTTCACCTTTTTCTTACCTGCCTCTGTCAAGTTGGGCTGCTGTTTTACAGGCAAATTGTTGTAAATCTGGCCCAGGATTCTTTTTATTCCCAGAAAAGTCCTCTCTCCGCCAGACATTGTTGCCTCCCATGTATCTTCTCCAGCAATAATTAGACATACCAGGAAAAATGCTGTTGTGGTGCTCTAATTTACATCTGGTCTGAGCAGCTACAGTTACCACTGACTTCATTTGGAGCAAAGACTATCAGTGCTGTTGAGTACTAGGGCTCAGGTGTCCTCCACTTGCATCTTTACTAAACCTATGTGGCAGCAGTGGGTACCCCTTCACTTGAGTCTGTGTCAAAAGGTTTGATGTAGGCAGTGTAAATTCAGTTAAGTCCTACTCTCCATTTGTCTCCATAC